TTTTTTTTTTTTTTTCATAGCTCGCCGCAGTATTCTTCTAGATACTCAACATCCAGATGGTCTCGAGAAGATTCGTGAACTCGAGGCCCAAGGTCGTCCAGCACGCTTAGAAGTAGAAGAACCACCAGTGACACCACCGAGGTTCATCACTGAACTTAGGGTAAAAATTTCGTAGTAATTTTGTTCACTAGATATTAGAAGTAATTTTTATAGAATCTTAAATTTATCAAATTATCTATTAGAAAATTCTACATATTCGTTATCTTCTACGTTATAAAATATTTATTTTCCAAAATATTTCCTGTTGAATAATTTGTCTAGAAATCGAAATCTGTAATATTATTATTTACCAATATAAAGCACAAATATTCGTACGTTATAAAATATTCAATTTCTAAAATATTTTCCATATACTGAATAATTTATATATTTTCATACGGTTCTAAATTCGTGACATTAAGCGTACTAAAAAAAAGTTTCTCGTAATTTTCTGGAATTTTTGCTTGGTATAGTCAAAATTCAAAAAAAAATGTTATATTCAAAAAAAAATATTTATTTCGCAATTCTGTTCAGGGTACCACCGAGGTGTACGAAGGACAAACAGCCCACTTCGAGTGCCAAGTTGAGCCACTTCACGACGCCAACTTGAGGATCGAATTCTTCCACAATGGCAAGCCGCTTCCATCGGCTTCCAGGTTCCACGTGACATTTGACTTTGGATACGTGGCTCTTGACATCGGCCATGCTGTTCCTGAAGACGCGGGAGAATATTCTGTACGAGCTATCAACGCTCTTGGACAATGCGTGTCTTCGATCGAACTGAGGGTTATTCCAAGGGACAACATTATCCTGGACTCGCAACGTCCTGAAGGACTGGACAAGATTCGTGAACTGGAAGCTCAACAACCTTGGAAGAGACCAGACGTGCCGGAACCACAAACCAGACAGAGGCCGGTGTTCACCCAACCGTTGCAAAATATCGACGCCATTCCCGAAGGACACACCGCTCACTTCGAGTGCAGGCTGATCCCTGTAGGAGATCCTACGTTGAAGGTCGAGTGGTTCAGAAATGAAATCCCGCTCGAGACGAGTGAGTGCAATGTCACGTGAATTATTTAGCTTGAATATGTTCGAGAATTTGAGAAATTTAGAAATTCCGGAGAGATCGAGAGTTCCGAGAGTTTGGAAACTTTTCGAACTTGAATTTGAAATTAGAAGTTGTAAACTTGTAAATTTCAGGAGTTGGAAAATTCTTAATTTTGAACAGAGTGGGAGACAGATTTGGGAATTTAGAATTCTGAGTATTGGAACGTTCGAGTTTTGGAAAACTTGAAAATTGAGAAAATTTAAACTCTGATTGCACTTCGGGATTTAGAAACTTACAAATTCGAGCTTGGAAATTTAAAAGTTTCAACTTTCGAAAATCGGGGAAATTAAAGAACTGGGCACTCGAGAATTTGGAAATCTAAAAATTGGAATACTCGAGAGAGTTTCAAACCTTGTGCATTCGAAAATTTAAAAATTTGGGAAACTTCAAGGATCGAACATTTAGGGCTTGAAAAAAAATTATAAAAATTCGAGAGTTTAAAAATTTAAAGATTCGAGTATTTAAAAACTCTAAATCATCTCTAGGTTCACGAATCACCAAAGTCCACGATTTCGGCTACGTCTCGTTGGACATCAACCACGTGAGAGAAGAAGACGAAGGTGTCTACATGTGCCGTGCTTCCAACCCACTCGGTGAAGCAGTTACTACTGCTTCCATGAAGATCAGAAGTCAGTATTAATTCTACCAATGCGATGTACATTTCCTCTCAAACCTTATATTAATTGCCAATTCTCAATTTCTCTACACCTAGGCAAAGCAAACATTCAATTAGAAACGCAACATCCTGAAGCGCAACGTAAGATCGCCCAGCTTGAAGCCGATAAACCAGGACGTCCTGAAGAACCGGAGAAAGTATTCGATAAACCTATCTTCACGCAATTGTTGACTGGACCCACGGAACTTTGGGAAGGCCAGATGGCTAGATACGAATGCAGAGTCGTTCCAGTTGGCGATGCCAGTTTGAGATTCGAATGGTACATTAATGGAGTCGAACTGAAGATGGGTAAGAATCTCATATTGGTGATTCAAAGATTTGGGAAATCTTTACCGTAAACTTGAAAATTTACATCTATTTATAAATTCGTACGAATTTCGGAATATCTCATCTCAGTTTATGACATAATACGCGAAGAAATTCCTATATAACTGTAACTATAATTGAATTTTTATTTCACTTAATGTACGTAAATTTCCGGCAGGATCTCGGTTCCACGTGAGTCACGATTTCGGCTACGTGACCCTGGACATCTTGAAAGTGATCTCAGAAGATTCCGGCGTCTACACCTGCAAAGCAATTAACAAATCTGGCGAGGCAGTATCCTCGATTTCCCTGAAGGTGAAAGCACGCTCGGCCATCGATGCCGATAGTTTGCAACCGGATGCCTGGCAGAAGATCCAGCTGAAAGAGGCAGAGATGAACAAAGTGCCTGAGATGTTTGTCGACACGACGCCCCAGCAGGCTCCGGTCTTCACGAAACACCTCGAAAGTTACGACAAACTCGTGGAGGGTCAGCACGTGTACTTGGAAGCTCAAGTAGAGCCAAGAGCAGATCCGAATCTTCGCGTCGAATGGTTCAAGAACGGAGTGGCTCTTCAAACTGGAACCAGACTTCGCAGTACCTTCGATTTTGGCCTAGTTTCGCTATCCATCAATGGCCTAAGGCCTGACGACTCCGCCATTTATACTTGCAAAGCCACTAATCTGTTCGGCGAAGCTGTGTCCACTTGCACCTTGAAAATCGTCGATCGTCATTGGTTACTGGGTGACACCCTTCATCCCGACGCTCTTCCAAAGATCGACGCCTTGGAACAACCTCACGTGACAACGGCGGAACAACCAGAGCCGACGTACGAAGAACCAGTGTTCATCACTCACTTGAACAACGTCGAGTGCGTGGAGGGTGACAACGTACACTTCGAGTGCAACGTTGAGCCGTCCAAGGATCCAACGATGAAGATCGAGTGGTTCATCAATGGTAAAGCGCTTCCAACTGGGGCGAGATTCAAGTCGACTTACGACTTTGGTTACGTAGCTTTGGACATTAATCACGCTTACGAGGAAGACTCGGGGCTGGTCATCGTGAAGGCTACCAATTCGAAAGGATCGGCGCAGACTTCCGGAACTCTCAAGTGTACCAGCAAACAGAATATCTACCTGCAGACGCAGCATCCTCAGGGAGAAGCTGGTCTGGAGAAGGTCAAAGAAGCTGAGGACGCGTATCTGTCGAAGTACAGGAGACCGGAGGCTGGACCGGAGCAAGAATATCCGAAGCCGATCTGGACGGTGCCGTTGCAGCCAGAGTTTAGATTGGGCGAGTCCGAACCCCTTCATTTAGAGGGACAGGTAGAGCCTAAGGACGATCCGAACTTGAAGATCGAGTGGTACTTCAACGGGAAAGCTCTGGAGCACGGGTCCAGATTCAAGATGACCAGTGACTTTGGATTTGTCACGTTAGACCTGACGGACGTCTACGATCGTGATTCTGGAATCTACACCTGCAAAGCGTACAACAAAGCTGGCGAGGCGTTCACCTCGACGACCATCTATTGCTCGACCAAGGAGAACATCATCGAGAGATCGCAACATCCGAAAGGTAAAGAAGGCTTAGAAGCGATCCAGGATCTCGAAGAGTCATTGAAACGGCAAGAAGGAGCTCCGCCGGAGAGCGAGGAAGGTCATCCACCTATATTTACGTCGCAATTCGAGAACCTGACAAATCTGTCTGAAGGAGAAATCGCTCACTTTGAGGCTTCGCTCACGCCGACTGGTGACCAAACAATGGTGGTCGAATGGTTCTACAATGGGAAAGTATTGGAAGCGAGTCATCGCATTAGAACTGTTTACGCTTTCGGCATGGTGGTTCTCGAGGTACTTGGAACGAAGATAGAGGACTCTGGCACCTATTCCTGCAGAGCAACCAACAAATGGGGCCAAGCGGAAATCAGCGTAGAACTGGAATGCGTGGACAAATCCAAAGGGCAGAAACCGAAATTCACGACTCACATTCAGTCGTTGGAGGGCCTGAAGGATGGACAGTCCGCCCACTTCGAGTGCACTTTGATCCCAGTCGGGGATCCTCACATGAAAGTGGAATGGTTCCACAATGGTCAGCCATTGAGACACTCGTCCAGATTCAAGATGGTGTCCGATTTTGGATTCGTCGTGATGGACATTGCTGGCGTGATGGCTCACGACACCGGAGAATACGTGTGCAAGGCTAGCAACAAATACGGCGAAGATTACACGAAAGCAACCCTGAAATGCTTCGGCAAGAGCGGAGTGTACCTCGATTCGTTGCAACCGGACTCTCTCGCTAGGATCAGGGAATTGGAGAGTTACGGTGGTGAACAACCTACGACGCCGACGACTCCGGTCGCAGAGCCACCTAAGTTCATCACGCAGATATCTGACATCACGAAACTGGTCGAGGGGCAGTCGGCTCACTTCGAAGCTAGACTCACGCCAGTGAACGATCCAGACTTGAAGGTCGAATGGTATTACAACGGAAAGAAACTGCCTCACGGGCACAGGTACAGAACCTTCCACGATTTTGGCATCGTTATTCTGGACATCTTGTACTGTTACGAGGAGAATTCCGGCGTCTACGAGTGCAGAGCTTTCAACAAGTACGGAGAGGACACGACTAAGGCGACGTTGAAGTGTTACTCGAAGTCGAGTCTCATTTTGGAGTCGCAGCTCCCCAAGGGTATGGAAGGTGGATTGGAGAAGATTCAGACGCTGGAGGACTCGATGATTCGCACTAAGGATGAAAAGGTTGTGGAGGAACGACGAAAGGCGCCTGTGTTCACCGTGCCTTTGAGCAACATCGACGGCCTCCGCGAGGGCGAGAGCGCGCACTTTGAAGCTAGACTTACTCCCACTGACGATCCAAAATTAAAGGTAACGGAATTTTACGATAAAAGAATTTTTATATGTCGAATATATCAAAATAAAATATTTATATAGGTTTTTCGAAGTATTTTATATATCGAAATA